ATGTATACCAAATAAATCATAACTGTTACATATAAATATTCTTTGGAATAGCATGCGCTCACTTTAAAAGCTCTTAGAAAAAGTTCTAATGGACCCATAACTGACCCAGTGTAGAGCATTATGGTTAGAAGTCAAACTCAAACACTAGCTACTCTAAGGTCTATTATATATATATATATATATATATATATATATATATATATATATTTCCTTGTGTTAACCATGATTAGGGGAAGGAGAAAAAAAAACAAAAAAAAAAGGGACAATTGTGATGTAATTTGGAGCATACATACACCTTCTATAAGATATATCTATTGGGTGTGCGTGCACAAAAAAAAAAAAAGCTACTTATAAAGAGTATGATACTCTTAATGGTATGAGGCTTTTGAGAAAATTGTGCAGCCATGATCCAAAGTGGATAATATCATACCATGTTAAGAGTATCTTTGGATCGTTTTAGTCCAACAACTGGTATTAAAACCAATAATTTGCAGTAGAGCTACGGAGATGACGATGTGGCGTGAGGCCCCGGCTTAGTGGCTTTACACGCCTACGAGGTTTACTACCTTTACTCGTAGCTTTGAAGATCCATACACAGCCTTTGGGCTACAACGAACGTAAATGCTCAAGATTATGTGAGTGACACACAGCACCTTCAAATTAGCCCATGAATGGTATTGGGTCACGTGGAACTTAGTTAAAGGAAGAGATTGTTGGGTGTGTGAACAAAATCCCACGTGAAAAATAGATTAGAAAAAGAAGCTACTTATAAGGAGTTGAATACTCTTAATGGTTATGAGGTCTTTTGCAGAAAATCGTATGGACATAGCCCAAAACGGACAATATTACACCATATTAAAAATATTTTTGAGCCATTTTAGTCCAACAATAAAAGTACACTTATAACCATTAGACTACAACTTCAATTCAAGGTCCATAATTCATTCCTCAATTTCCCTTATTCAGATGATACAAGTTTTCTTCTTTTCTTGGTTGTTTTATTGGATTCATTTGTTCAAAGTGTAATAAGAAAATGAATTTTCTAAGTTTGCAAAACAAGATTCATATATAAGCCAAGATTGAAAAAAGGGGATGAATTTTGCTCGAAAAGAAGAAGATTAATGTCATAATCAGGCTAGTGGAGTTTGGTTTTGCCTTTTGAGAAATTGAATATGGGCTGTGAGGACAATCTTGAAGGTTGGCCATGTGAAGTAAATATTTGACCATCGAATAAAACAACTCCTTTGTAGGTATGGGCATGTGGTTGTTAGCACTTAGCAAATCCCAATAAATAACTCTAGTACAATTCTAGAAATGGAACATTTTCCATTTCATATTCCATATATTTCTTTTTTTTTTTTTTAAAAAAAGTGTCCGAGTCAGGTCGCGCCACTAGGATCATTTTACTGAATACCTAATATCTCCCACCATCACTAGTATTAGGTAACTCTCACTAAAACTTATGCAAATGGTAGGAATCTCTGAATTATGATATCCTGCCATTTTCAAGCCACCTATCGACCGTTGGGCGACATAATAAATTTTCTGTGTAATTTTTTTTCTCATAAATTTAAAAAAAATAATTGACCTTGCATTTTAGGATAATTCTAATTACATATAGATATTTCAACCCCTTATAATACTCAATTTGTACATGTCAAGTCTTCGATGATGTTTAAGTTTAGGCCAGTTTATGCTATTTGTTGATGTAATCAACAAGTAGATGGATTGGGATATAATATGAACTAAATTCTAGAAGAAGATAGGTGATTGAATTCACTACACACTTAAATGACAAATTAAAACCCATTTTGAAAAGGTCAAAATGCCTAATTTTCAAGCTAATTAACCAACAACCTATTGAATTGACATAAATTGATTTAGCTACCCTATCATCTTAACCACCACATTACTTGCATGTAGTTTCCTTTTCAAGCTCATTTACTTACTCTTGACCTTTTCCACCTTCCCCCCTCCTCCTTTTGTCTTTTTAGTGAGGATGGACAAGTGAGCTTTTATTTTTATTTTTTTTGAAACTTTTGGT